CTTTGTGAACCACACGTGTCACGAGAGTTTCTCTGTCGAACGGGGCAAATCTCACACATCCTCCATGTGATCAGGATCTCTGAGTGCATCAAACTTCTAATCACCCCAAATCAGATTATTTCCAGGACTACTTTTCCTGCTATGAACCTGCTCAGCTACTTAGTTCATCAGGAGAGACTTTTTGAAGATACTTGATTTTTGGGCATGCAGGAATGGGCCTTTTCCTACGTGGCTTCAAGTCTGTGGACCATGCTCCCTAAGGAGATTCGTTTGGCTCCCATTCTATGAATATTAAAGAAGATGATAATAAAATACATCTCTTTCACCAAGCTTTTCATTATTCTAAATACTTATTTTAATTCAGGTTTTGATTTTAATTATATTAACTTTGTTACATTTATTAAATTGTTGTACACCACTTTGTATGTTAGAAAAACAACCAGATAATAAATTTAATAATTGATTTAAAAATAATAAAATCAAAGAAACTTCACAGGGATTTAATGCACTAAAGAAGACACTTTCTTAATTCATGGGAAGAAACAAACCCTCCACTGAAGTATAAACCTAATTCTTACCTTCACAGTTTCTCCCCGGTTGGACTGGATTGGCATCTGTGGTTGTCTTGCATCTACATATATATGAACCCACTGTATTGATACATTCTGCAAGCATACAGCAATCATTTTCTGCTCTAGATGCACACTCATCCCAATCTGCAGTTCAAAAACCAACATTAAAAAAGCAAAGATTAGGTTAAATTGGCTGATAATAAGCAAAGCATAATCTCTCATTTTCATAATCCTCAGGAAATCCAAAATATATGCAGTTGCAACTGTAGCTGCCAAGTCATCAAAAATATTTTTCACGTACATTTTTAATTTTTTGTTCAACCTTGAAAAAGTGTGCAGGATCTCCAAAATCTTATTCTCATCTTAGGAAACAGCAAAGATACCTACTGCTTTCAGAAATTAGGGTGAAATCAACAGGATTCCCCATTTCTTTCCAAGACTAAAAGAAGACAAGGAATCTTCCATTCTTAACTTCTCTGAGAATCTGTAGAACAGGAGCACACATCTACATTGTACCTCAGCAGGTATGTGCAGGTGCTCCCACTGTAATATTGGGATTGGAATTACAGTGGTACCTCGGGTTACGAACGCCTCTGCTTACGAACTTTTCGGGTTGCAACCAGCTCCGGCTGCAAAAATTTACCTCGGTTTGCGAACTCCGCCTCAGGGTATGAACCAGATCCGCGGCCATTTTCCGCCGTGACACGTGGTCCGTGGCCATTTTCCGCCCGTGACACGTAGTCCGCGGCCATTTTTCCGCCCGTGCCACGTGGTCCGCGGCCATTTTTCCGCCCGTGCCATGTGGTCCGCGGCCATTTTTACGCCCTGCCGCGCGGTCCGAGGCCGTTTTTCCGCCCTGCTGCGTGGTCCGCGGCCGTTTTTCCGCCCTTGACGCGTGGTCTGCGGATGCCGGAACGGATTAACAGTAATTTAACGGTAATTACATTGAACCTTATGGGAAAATTTGCTTCGGGTTGCGAACAAATCAGGTTGTGACCAGAGTCACGGAACGGATTAAATTCGTAACCCGAGGTACCAATGTACTCACAATGTCTCCAAAACTGTCACAATCAATGTCACGGTCCAGACTTTGCATCCACTTTTTAAAAGTGATGCCAAGTCAGTGACAGACACATAGTCCGGCTATTACAAAGAGCAACATACATGTATGGAAATTTGGATGCCATCTTTCTGTATCTCTATGACTTGAGAGTCAGAATTTCCTGTTTTAGATGCAGATATTAATTCAATATTAGCTTTTCTTTGCATGGTTCACTATGGTGCACTCTTGAGAGTTAAATGCTTTTGGATATTGTAACAGGGATCTTAGATATTACTATCACAAATACTCATACAAATTCGCTCTCAAATTTTCAATAAGATAAATCCTCATTTTACAGGTTAAAAATCTTGAAGCATTTAATATCACACAACAGGTTATATAAATTATTTATACATAACCATGGATTCATGAATATCTCACAATGCACTGGCTACTCTGGGGAACTTGATAGGCAATTTAAAAAAATGAGATTGGTAGTTTATTCCCCAAATCCATTGTGTTTAGGAGGTATCCACTGCAATGCCATAATACCAGGGTAGGCAATTGTGGGATTTTTGTGGCCCTCAGAGTCTCCATTGACATTGAACACTTGTGGCCCAATTTCCCAGCATTTTTAAGCTCATTAATATTGTAGTGCAAATCCTCCAATAGTTTTAGAAATGAAAAGTTCTCCCCAAGACAAAGGAAAAAAAATAGTTCTACCACTTTGCAGAATATCCTACTACTCTGATTCCTGGGCTACCCCCAAATATTGGGGATGCTTCTACCCCGGCCATAGGATAAGGTAGCTTTGTGCTCATCAATTGTACCAGATGTTTTAGAAGATATGTGGCTACTATAGTTGAACCATTAGAGCAAGAGTATACAATAAGACCCAGGCCACATATGCTCCAAAGCTTTGTGAATGGCTCCAAAGCCTGCATTAAAATGTAGATAATCATTTCTATGATTAGAGACTACATTTTCCCCAGCATTAGTTTTGAAAGCTGGGGATCAAATGATTGGACATGGCCAAATAGGTTAAGTCTGATTTTTTTCCTGCATTTTGAGGGGAGAGTTTTCCTAGGAGACTTTTTGTTTGCTTCCTCTGCAATTTAGGAATGCTAAGCCTCAATCTTAGTACATGTTAATTCTTGCCAGAAATCTGCAGGAAATTATATCACCGCTGTTTAGCTATCTGATAACAAATGTTAGCGGTGTGATCACAACAAGCTTTAGGAACCAAAAAAGAAAAGATGTAGGGTACATAAGACTGACTACCTCACACAGTTAATACTTCTTCATAAAATAACAAAATACAAATCAGACATTGAATTAGGTAATATACCTTCCACTGCAGAGCTCTTTGGGTCAATTCCAAGCACACAATTTTCATGAAGTGATGTAATCATTGAGTCAAATGCAGACAAGTCTTTTGGAAACTCTAGGTCTTCTATTATGATTTTAAGCTTCACAATAATACTTCCAGCTTTAATGGAATGTATTTGTACTTTTAGCTTCCCAAATTGGTGTAATGAAGACATATTTGAAGGAAATGACTTCATAATCTGAAAACAGATAAGAGAACTATTGCTGTTTTAATGCGCGCGCGCACACACACACACACACTGACTTTTCTTCTCCTTAATGTCATTTTTCTTTATATTTTCTGCATACTGTTTCTAGAAAAATCAAGCTTATTCTCATGGCATATCTATACATTTGAACAAAATTAGCTTATATCACAAGTCTTGCCCCTTGTGCTCAAAACCCACCTGTGTAGGCAAGAAGCTGAATGTCTGCTGCCCTGTCATTTCACAGGCTGAATTTCCATCAACTGCAATGACAATTAAATGAAAGCCTTTCACAGAATCATAGAACTGGAAGGGGCCATTTAAGCCATTAAGCCCAATCTATTTTGCAGTGCAGGGATCCAAATTGAAGCATCCCAGATGAATGGTTTTCTAATATATGCTTGAGAACATCTAATGAAATAGAGGCCATCACCTCTCTGGAATACAGAAAATATTCTTCTCTTTTGGGATCCACTATCTTGTCTTCCATTCTAAAGTGTCTCTTCCCCTCAGATTCTGTTTCATCTGCAAGGGCCTAAAATTGGTTTTACTCCAGCAGGCCAAAATATTTTCTATGCCTGTTGCTTAATTTTATGCAACACTAATAAATAAGAAAATAATTGAAGTTGATATAGTTGCCTTATATAAAATTTATTCTGAGATTTCAAATGTATATGGGTTTTAGCATTACCTCAGCCATCAACGTACGAGAAAATGTCTGATATTCTCTGCTGCTCATATTGAGGAACTGGTCAGTGAAGTTATAGTTCAAGATCCTTAGAGTTAAACCAAATATCAAGGCATCTAAAAGACACAGTATTAAGACAGTGATACAGTGAGGGGTAGGGCATCTGAGAACAGACAAGTTAATAAAACCCAAATGGCTCCCAAATCTTAATTAGATATTTAAGGCACTTCAGATTTATAGTATGAAAAGTATCAATTAGGAAGCTTTTTTAAGAGAAAGATTTACACATTAACCAATTCAAAAAGATTTTCAATTGAGTAAAATAGTAGATATACTGTAATTGCATACCTGTCTTCACATTTCTGTAGGAGGTAATATTTTTGCCACAAGCTTCATAGCTGACTTTCAGTGTATACATTACACCTGCTTCTAGATTTGATGTATTTAGCTTCATATCTGTGGTTTCCATTCTTTGAACAAGTTCCTTGCCTTTGTACACTTCTGCTCGGAATGAATGGTTCTGCAAGGAATTTACACTCCAAGATGCTTCAAAACTGCTACTAGTTACACTGAAGATCTTGTGGTTTCTAATAGGAGGAGAATCTGCAACAACAATCATGTGAGACTTATCACAGTTGAGGGAAATAAAAACCTTCGGCAATCATATTTTGTATACTGTGTGCTTACTTTAAGAATAAATCCTGTTTTATTCTAGATTTGTAACTTGTAGGATTGGAGTCTTTGACTAAGGAATGATAGACATACACATTAATTGCATAAAATACTTGGTTTAATGTTTTCTTTTGGCAATAGACAAAGTCAATATTTGGTTCATGGTTGAGGGGCAGAGGTTCTTTCCTTAACCTTTAGGGTGGAGCTATAAGGTGCTCTATCTTGGCATTCCGGATTGGGATGCTATGCAAAAAAAAAAAAAAAAATCTGTCTTTTGTGTGGTCTCTTCCTTTTCAGCATGAAAATTTGTAGAGTGTACATATTTGCCAGTAGAGTGAAATTAAATACTAGGTTATTTAGGATTCACTTGCTTATCTAGAAATGAAGGACTTCACTCTTATTTTGGCTGGACCACTATGTTCATTTGCTTCTTGGCAAGTAGTATAGATACCATGGACAATCTTAATAAACACTCAGGCCTGCTCTACTTCTTGCTGCCATCTGGCTGAGGAAGGTGGAGAATGTACTAGTCATTAGACATGATTGGGAGTCCAATCTATCAAATACTAGTTATTGATAGGCTTGAGTAGCCAAACATCCCATCCTCTGGAAAGTAAAGATCAATTTTTAGTTAGTTTTGCTCTTGGAACCAAGGTAAGATCACTCAAAGGTGCCCACATGTGTCAATTTACCCAGTCTGTTATAATCAACTCATCCTATTTTATTCAAGTCTAGCAAATGCACACTACATTCAAATTGTATATACTTCAGGATTAAACTAGAATACAGTAATTCCTGGGCTATGATTTTCCAAGAAACTCATATCTTCCATTATAAATGCTATGTTCAAATGCTTATTTGCCCCCATTTCAGAGTTTCCAGTGCGTTTCTTTGTGCAGTTGGGGCATATAAGAAATGTTCCACTACATTCAACAGAAAAATGTACATTTGCCTTCACATCAAAGCTACCAAAGAGCCTTGTTAAAATGAAAGTATCACATGTGTCCCTTGTGATTCAGGATTCTTTCTACTGAATATGTGGGACTTGTGGACTCTTTACTGTTGGCCCCAAGGGTTGAATGGTCAGGTTGAGAGCTGACCCTTCAGATTGTTAGGGGCACAGTGAAGAAAAAGGAAATAAGGGGCTTCAGTAATTATGTCTTTGCCTTGAGACTTAAACTATTTGGAGAGTGGTACCATATATCTGAATGTGCAAGAAAGTTTTTTAAAGCTGTTTTTTCTAACCTGATTCCTTCTAAATGTATTAGACTGAAATTCCTGTTTTCCCTGGTCATAAGGAAAAGCTGTTTTAGAGTATTGGCCAGAAGTCTAGGGAGGGAACATAAACTGAGGCCCACTTCAGGCAGCAAAGCATCTTGAGCTAATACTAATTCTCACAAGACCAAATGCCTACATTTCCTTAAAAAGTCAGAAATATAAAAGTTTAAAAACTGTACTGAGTGAAAAAAAGCACTTTTTATTTATCCCCGAAAGGTATTCTGAGACTTACTACTGAAATATTGTTTGCGATTGAATGAATAAACAAATGTACTGGATTATAATTGCATAAATAATTCTGTGGTATGCAAAATTGTAAATCTCATATGCCATATCTTGATAGGAGTCAAATTTAAAGGATAGGCCTCGATTAAATCAAAATATAAAGCAGAATGAGCAATTGAGCAATCATTAATGTTCTTTAAGCCAACCAATAATGTATAAAGGACCTCAGCTTCAGCCCTTCATTCTAGAGACCTAACTTTTTCAAATGATATTTAGATTGTAAGAAAGTCTTCAAAGCAAAAGGCTTTCTGCTAAACTATGCTGAATGCTAATCCATTGTTTTGAAATGATAAGATATACTTACAAATGAAATGTATCAATAGGTCCATTAATTCATTTCATTTATATGTATTCATTGGCTCCTTTATATACAGAGAAATGTCTGTAGGAAGGATAGTATAGATATAATTAAAAGAGCAACTATTCTTAAATAAAGTATGTCAGGCCCTAGAGAAAGCAAATTTTAAAAATAAATGAATTTTAAAAGATAAAGTAACTTACTGCATTCAGAATCTACTGATACATGGGTTTCTGATGATGTAGTTGTTGAATTTCTCATCAAATTAGAAGAATTTTTAAGCAGAATGTGGGGTATATCACAATCACAATCTGAATCAAAGAAAAAATAATGAAACTTGATCGCAGTAAGTATTCCTAACCTATTTAACTAGCTGTGGAATATTTTTCTTTATTTTCTTTATTTATTAAATCTACATGCCACCCATCTCAATGCTGTGCCATATAGTGTATTTAAATCTGCTTTAGTTTAACATTTACTTACCATCCTGCCAATGGTCTGTTAATGAATAATGACAAAAGTGTGGTTTGACTTGAGACAATATCTCCCTTTGAACCTAGAGAAACCTAGGCTCAGAAACCTAGAGGATGTTCAAGTTGAATGCCCTGATCCTTGAAAGCAAGGAAGAGGAATAAAAAGAGGAGAGATTTTTTGTGTGTTTGGGTGTGTGTGTGTGATTAGTAAATAAAGCTTATTATATTTTCTAACAAAAAGGAAGCAACTCTAATAATCTTCCACAAAGCTTCCCTTCAGCTTTATGCTGCTTATGGCAGCAAGCCACCAATGGGATCCCACCAGTCCCAGTAACACCTGTCCTCTCTCTGGATCAGTTTCTTCTTTCACAATTTTTAGAGACATTATCAAAGATTTTCCTCATTAATAAACATGAAGGGGTTGGCAGGGAGGGAGGAGGTCCAATAAGATGGTCTACTATTTAATTTTTTTGGGGGGGGTTGGATTGCTCTTTCAAATTTCTTTGCACGTATTTTAAAGAGATGTTATTGTGACACTTTGCAGAAAATTGAAAAATAAAAAAACCAGAATTTCCTAGCACTTTGTATTTTGTTAATATATGCATCCAATTCTATATTCCAACGTATATACTTATGAGGACTCTCTTACTGTTGGATTTCCAGGGTGGCATCCACGGGTGTTAGTATGCCATGGACACCACCACTTACACCTGCCAGGTTCCCTGCCCCCCAATTTTTTTAAAAATTATTTTGATTAAGAAAAATAAATGGGAAGGTAGCATGCAAAAAAAAAAAAAAAATGCTGTGGCCTCTGATATCTACAAAACATAGACCTCAGAGGCATACTTAGAAAGTAAATATGAGGATCAGTGCTTTATTTGGTAGTGTGTCCAGTTATTCAGGAAAAAAAAAGGAGATGAAAGTAAAGTGGTAGACAGCATCTTGAGAGTAGGGGCTAAAGAGGTTGGCAGGAAGCAGCTTCACTAGCTTGCATTCCAGTAAATGGGGGTGTTGTGACTAGTCATACCCTCAGTGCCAGCCTTTTTGACTCATGACATATAATAAAATTACAAGGTTTCGCATTGTCCCCTACAGACAGGAGACACTTGGCCTAGATAAATACCAGATTGCACGTCTACAGATTAATAACTGCATTTGCTGAAATAAATTTTAGATGAGTACAAGCTTTGGGTTTTTTTTACATTTTTCTCCCAAATTAAAGAACAAGTAAAGTTAGGTCCTAAAATACAGTGTAGATGCTGATTAACTCTGTGATTGCACTGAAGTGAAAGCAGTCATTATATAAGGTCTTGATGTGAATGTTAACTTTACTCCATGCAGTTAAAGGCTGTGACAAAAGATAGCCTCTCAGTGACTTGTATTGCCAGAATCAGCTTTCAGTTTATCACACACAGCAAACTATACTTGAGAGTCACATAATGTTTATTCTTTTCTGAGCCCCCCTCCCCACAATGCCCTAGCAAATGCCTTGTCAGGCTAGAGATCCTGTTTTCTATAACTGTATTCCGAAAACCTGAACATAAAATCAAATGAGAAAAGAGTAAAAAAAAAAACCTCTCTCTTTCATAGAGCTGCTCTTCAGTCAAATATATCTGAAATAATAACCTTGTACAGCTATGTCAATAACTTCATATACTCTCATCACAATGTCCTTCAACAAAGAAGAAATATTGACCAATGGAACCAGTTGTTGCAGTCCAATTAGGATTTGGGAAGCTAATGTCTCTGCATAAGTTTCTGACTTGGTTGTCTGGATATGATACACTGAGATGTTCATGGGCCATAATGCTCCAGTAATCTGGAAAAGAGAGAAACTCTTCTTAAGTGTCATAGAAAACCACTATAGACAAGTAAATGCTTTTTCTTTAAATGCTATTTATAGAATGAAAAAGAATGACTTAATCAAAATCAGACTCTTTCCAACACTATGAAACCCCATGTTTAAATATTAACTTGACACAGAATACCCCTATTAAAGAAGCATTCTGACATTTATTTTGGTGTCCACTTAAGAACATTTTCATCATTAAGCAATGTATTGCCAGTAAACACACTGGAGAAAAGGGATAGAGTTCATCAGAAATGTAAGAGTAACTATATAGGTGCGTTTTCTATAACTTCCTTGTCCAGTAGGTGGCAGTCACATAACATACAGTACTGTAGAGTATACTGTATAGGGCTCTCCTAGGAACTAAATAACATCAGCAGAAATATACAGTACAGCATATATGTTACTATTCCGTTGATTCATACCATAGAGTGCAAAAGACGTGAATGATTCAAAAGCCTTGGATCCACTTTGCTTAACTCACTGAAATCCATTTTCACAAGGACTGACACATTGTACCAGTGTTTTGTCATTGTTTGTTCTAGAATTGGAAAGAGAAAACAATCCAGTTGTAGCCCGAACATTATGTCAGTACGTAGGTGCTCAGTTAACATGGTGGTCTTCTCGTTTTCAGTGGTCTTGATTAAGTGCTGAGACTCACAAGGTGTGGCAATTTAATCAATCAGTCAGAATTATCTATGAAGTTCATATATTCTGCATCATAATTGATCTCTTTTCTTTTGTGTTAAAATCCTGGCAGAATTTTGGAACACACCCAAAATATTAAGTCAGGGCTGACCAAGAAGGAGAGACCCACAAATCAGACCCTTTGCCTCAACTCCTCTTTGAAGAAGAAAAAAATGGGCAGTATGGCACTACTGTATTACTATACCTTCTGGAACAGGATCTGAACAATGGGTTCCTGTAGATGTCTTACAGCATTTTTTATATTCTGGACAATCCATGTCAGACACACATGAACTATTTAATGCTTCCTTTATCTTCATGGGACAGGCACCAAGTCTTGAAGCAAAATCGCTGGATCTGTTTATGGCTATAAAACAAAAAAAATTACAAGAAAAAGTGCACCTACTGGCCAAAATTCTACAAGCTTCTTTAGGTACATCCAAGGGCCTGAGCATCCCCAATGGAATTTTCCTTTAAGTTTATTTTGAACCAAACCATGCTAATGCCTATGAACATCAGATTCAAAAGTTCCTTTCGATAGAGTTTTGAAGAAGCAGAGAAGAAATTATCCTTGACCCAACAGATTCTAATCCCACAGGCAATTTTCAGCCACTTGAGACATCTGCCAGCGTTCCCTCTCCTCTCTATTATTATTACCTTTGTGTGGGCCGTGACTAATATAAAGGGAAAACATGAGGGAAAAATTACATCTATCCTTACATATTTTAAAGAAGAGCAAGAGTAAAGTCCATGCTTCCATACTTCTGTCCTGAATGTATTTATATTCCTCTCTGAGTAACTTAGAGGTGGACTTAGATCCTTAACTATACTACAGTTTCTTGGCCTCTATGATGTAAACCCTTTTTTCCCTGGCTTAGGCTAATATACTGTACCCAAAGGTGGATCATATGCCTGCAGGCCCTCCTGATTTAGATACTAGGCTGCCTTTTACAATGACACCAAATCTTCCGCTGCTGAACAAGATGGCCAAGAGAGTTTTGAACTGGCACTGCACGGTTTACATAAGTTATGCTGGCCCTTTTCCACACTAGATTCCAGCTGATTTCAGAACAAAATTCAAAACACTGGTTTTCACCTGCAGAGGTTCAGAGCTGTGCACTATTTGGAAACTTAGTACCTACTCAGTACCTTTCTAGTTCTTCACCCTTTATGACTCATTCTAAACCAGTGTTGTCCAAACTTGACCACTTTAAGATGAGTGGACTTCAACTCCC